TAACCAAATGAAATGTGTCAGCTTACAATGTCATTCGCTTCCCAGTGAACCGGAATTTCAAAATCAGCTTATTGAATGAAAATGAAATTATTCAATTTAATACATTTATTTTCAACTTTTGCAGCGACAGACAACAATTCTCAGCGGACGATATTTGGGCTTATTTAATGCGATAGAGGTCAATTTAAAATAGATTTGCTTTTATAAATCTGGGTCATATAATATATCCTCTAACAAGCTGTTGCCCTACACACAAATACAGATTTGAATGGATAACACAAAATTAAAACTATCTAAAAACATATCTCTAATGTGGTATGTTTAATCTCGATTTTTGAGCCGTTACTAGTTTAGTTATTAGCTGCAGTATATTATAATATACCGACAAAATTCGTCCTTGCTTTCACTCACCCGTGTTAAATTCTAAAAATAATGTTTCAAATAATATATTATGTGAATACTATGTGTATAAACATATTTTGTGCTTTTCTACTAGGGTCAATAAGCAACAATGTTATTTCTTATATATCGAGAACTACTTTAACGTATCTCGTGAGATATTAATACACAATAACGCATAACTGTAGTAATTTGGTTATATGTTACTCCGCTTGTCACTTCCGTCACAAATATGACATGCGTACAACGTCCATAGATTCAGAATATTATCTTTTGGATTTAGCGAGACAGTGTGCGAGTGTTTTAACGACAACAACAGCTATTTGATTATCAAAACGTATTAGCATGAACTGCGTCCAAAAATAATATACACAGATTAACCATTAGATCTGGGTCCATTAACAGTAGTGTTGTGCATACAAGTGTATTTTAATTCAACTTCTAAAACCGTCAAATTAGTATTTTTCATATGCTAATAAGTTTAAACAAACAGAATATCATTAAATCATAGAATCAGACCAAGTTTTATTGGTTTAAGCATTTGAAAAAATTGTATTTGCACCGAAGGTGCATCAACGTTGTTTTCGAAACACGTGTTTATATATTGTCGTAAACATTGACTTTCTCAAAAATCAGACTAACTTGACGGTTTTAGAAAATGACAACTTAAATTCGAACATGTCCCTGGAGGATGACGATGCGTACTATAGTAGTAAGCAGTTCTGTGTCAGTGTAATTCAAATAAAAGGTTCATTATGGTGTCTATTTTATTCTAACCAACATATCATAGAGTTATATTAGCAGGATGTAATTTCTAAATCATTGCGTTACATATATTCACTTTCACTGGAAGCGATATAACACAACTGGTGTCATGTTATGGATTACATTGATTCCCAGTATTGACGATGTGTTTTTTGCAATGGAGGCCAATAAAAAGTAGATTTTGTCTCCATAAATATAGGGCATATAATATATCTACAAACAAGCTGTTGTCCGAAACACAAATGACTGTCTGAATGACGTAAGTGTGATATCCTAATATGTGTTTAAAAGTTAACCCAAAGATGTTACGGCGTTTTGAAACCGTGCTAAATATATTATTTTAAGAAGCACCCTGGTATGATACTATTGAAACGATCCTACCTTTTTTTCACTTATAGTTTTCTCTTTTCGCTGCGATGTATGATAATCGGGTTGGGATAGATTGAGTTGTACTCCATTTGTCCAAAGTGCTGCAGTATTACCGTTAGAAGAACTGTCTTCGGCGAACGTTGTTATCGGCATGTATTCGTATATATAAAATTGAGGCTCCACGCCTAATGAATACAGAATGTAGGAAAATGTCGTTCCGAGGAACATCAACACGAGGAAAGTATGGAAAACTATGGTACTCGCTGAGGCCATGACTTACAATATCGAGTCAGAACAATCCTAAATCTGCAGGCTCCGTGCAGTTGGTTGGTTGAAATCAAATAGTAGTGACGTGTACACATGGATTTAAATTTCGATATGTTATCCTAGTGGTAGCGTACACACAGATTATTAAATACAGATGACAGTTGGTAATGCAATAAATATAATGAAATAGTGGAGGTAATATACATGGAACGTAGTTAAACATACATCCAATGCATTATTCAATACTATAGAGGTTACAGTACTCGTAGTTGTTTTCAAATGATAATGCATGAACGCACCACACATATTGTGCAAAACGGATTACAGAAAGCGGCATTGACCAGAAGTGTGTGATAACGTATTGTTTTACTGTAACGGCTGTGCAAGTGATAGTGTAGATTTTTTGGAGTTAAATTCAAACTAAGTTCTTGCCTGTAACATGGGGAACAAAACTGGCTGCACCGGTAGCTGTCGACTTGCTGGTATTACGTGCCATTTTGTCTTAACCCGTCATACATTCAGCTGCCTCGTTCAGACATCACTGAAACCGCCCTCTAAATATAAAGTTGAATTCGTGTGGTTCACTTATTTATATATTTACCGAGATATTTACCGTGAGCACCAAACGAGCCTTGAATATCTTGCTGACGTAATCAGACGAAATATCTCACGCCTCATAAACGACATTGTTTAACACATACACTAAACGTAGCGTACATATTCTCCCATGCTTCTATTGGGAGTTAGATGCACAATAGTTAAAGAAATCATTTAAAATGGCTGATCGATCGCGGTATAGGGATCGATTCGGGGTCGTTTCAGGCTCGTTTTCGCTTGATCGGTTTAAATTGTTTGTGGTTAGTTTTGTTTCGTTAGTTTTTGGAGGTTTGAGTATTTGTACGTTGTTTTGCTTGTTTTGAAGTTAGTGGCCTTTCTTTTCTCTGTCGACCGCGGTTTTCAATGTTAATCGAATCTGCACGGACTGGTTTATTTAGAAACTAGTTTGATTTGTTGCTCAAATTCTGAAGAAAACAAACGAAAAATAATCTTAGCAGAGACGTATAACACTAGGGTTGGCTTTGTTGTGTTTTTTTGTGTATGATCGAAGACTGTGAAAGAGCCTCGTTCATTGCAATGATAAAACCGAAAATTACTACATGGACACGTGACTAATTTTCATAGTTATGTCATCTAGATATAATTGTCATCAAGATATAATTACGACAATGTTAACTTATTATTTATAAATTTACTGTGATATTGCAAAATATTCTTCATTGATGGAAATGCCTCTGTCTCAAAACATTATACGATGATCGTTTGGCGGACTCAATTGACTACAGTAGAGTTCTAAATATGTTATACAAAACAAATCACGTCTTGATAATACCCAATGTATCTGACCTAGTTATAATCATAAAAATAAACCGAAATAAAATCGTATGTTTAACACTTCGGGGAACCCCAAACATGAGCAATAGTGATGAAATAAGTGTATCAAATATATCAACTAGGATGACATGAAACAACAGTTCACTGCACTTATGAATGCGGCCTGTTTTGTTCCGATTCCCATAAATTCACAGCCAAAGGATTCATCAAACCAACCGCTAACACTAGTGAAAGCTTTACCGGGCGTATTCGAATATTACTACCGACGCAAATGTCGGTCCCAGCGGCGAGCGGAAAGCAAACCCCGACAGATAAATAAGGATCATAAAATCGCTGAATGCATAGATGACTGCGTTCGAATGATATATGGCAAGATGGCCAGATCTAGTCATCTGTCTTGACTAGTGAGTACTGGTAGTAACGTTATACGTCGCAATTGAAATCTTGTTATGGTAGCAGGACAAACGCCCCCGTACAATCGCCCCGGGCAAATGCCCCCCTAGGACAAATGCCCCCACACAATTATTATTTGTTATTTTTGGCAGTGATTTTGCCTATTAATAATTAGTTGACTACTAGGTGTTGTCGACAAACATTAGTTCATATGCATTCATAATACATTGACAACCACGAAGCGCATTACTGTAATCAGTAAATCGGATGTCGAAAATTATGCCAATCCAAAATCCTAACCAAAATCCTGGACGACAGACCAGTTTCTGCGGATGACTGGCCAATTTTCGCGATGACTTTCCTGTGATCTTTGCAAGTATGAAAGAAAGGTCTTTGACAAGATTATATATATACTTTGTTCAGTCGTCGAGAATGTTGGCCATTCATCGCGGAAATTGGTCTATAATTGCGGAAATATTGTCGTTATAGGTCGTCGGAATTTTCAATAAAAAGTAGCTGCTAATTAAAAATAGCGGTAACCACATTTGGAATGGAAATAGTCTTACAAATACGCTCACAAACCTTGAATAATAGAAGAACTAGTTTATGATGAATTATGTCTGATACTGTAGCAGTAAAGACATTGAGATGAGATGCTGATGACACATCTCTGGCGCGGGTTCGCACGAGAGATAAAAAACGTTTGTTACTGACAAAAATAGCACCAGCCACCCTTACTTAGACGATAACTGGGTTGATTTAAAGTATCTATGTCTTCCCCTTTTAAATCTGAAAAAATAAAATAAAGTATCTGTGTCAATTAGCTGTTTCGATGTTTCTCAAGTGTCTGTTTTTTTCATTTGAATTAGCTACCGTTTAAAACACTTAACTCTACAGTGAAGGTTCACGTAGTTATCAACGTATCTAATCTTATTTTATTCTCCCACCTCCAATCCATAATAATACCCCATTTGTCTGTTCCGTATTTCCTGTTAGCATGAACGTAGTTTTCATCCTAATTACCAAGTTTTATTTACATAGTGTGTTTTCTGTTGTGACTGGATGATGGTACAGATGGTGAAATGTTACAATATTATTAAACTAGAGTTACACGAAGAAATAAAGTCAGAAAATACATGTACCCATGGCTTGCTGATAATGTACACTGAGCTGCCTTACTGCAATATATTCTCAAGACTCGCATATCTATTTATAGGTGAGAAATGCTTGTATATCATTTCGTTCAGACTAGTATTTAGTTATGATATGATATGATATGTTATGATATGATATGATATATGATATGATATGATATGATATGATATGATATGATATGATATGATATGATATGATATGATATGATATTTTGACCATGCTATTACTCGTTTATAGTAAGATACAAATATACATCTTTTATTTGAATCACTAGATTTTGTATCAATCAAAAATAAATACCTCACTGTGACAAATATTTTTAATTTTTGATAGATCACATGATGAAAATTAGACTTTTTTGTAATTCATGCAAACAATCTAAAATTTTATAATGAAATTGGATATATATATAACACTATTTTATTTCATTTCAGAGTTAAATTCTACAATAAAATATGCATCGTCCGAATCGCCCACGAACCCGTGCGTGATCGTGTTAGGAAAAGCTGTATGTCACTGCATTGAGTCATTTGATTGGGAGCTGGCGCCACCAATAAGCGTTGCTGTGTCATGAATGTGAAGGTCGGGGGGTATCACAGTTTAAAACAATGGCTACACAGTGGCGGATCCAGCAAAATGTATTGGGGGGTCAAAAACAGAAGATCTATATTTGTTGACACGTTTCCGAATCCAAAATGTTTTATTCCAATAGGGAAATGGTTAGTTGGCTAGTGAATGAAGACGATGCAATCTTTATATATTTGTGCAAACCGTGTTTTAGTAAATTGACAAAACTGTCGAAACTGATAACACATAGACAATATTATCTCATATAAACTTGGAGAATTTCCTGGAGAGAGAGACCAAAATTGAAAGTCATTTAGCACCACTTACATTTCTTACTTGGCGAGGGTTTCACTGTTCGTGTAATTTTAAAGTTGAACAATTTGTAAATGCCACAAAGTTATATTTACCATATCGAGTACGTGGTGGTAAGAGATGAGAAAACGACGATGTTGCCTTATATATGCTAAGATATCCAGAGCGGGAATAGGAAGTTTCATAACACATTTCAACTAAACTTTTTTATCGGCTTTTGGTGTCATGTATTTTGGGTTATAAAATTAGTATGGTCCAGTTTGAGATCTATATGGATTTCAACAAACTTTGGTGCACTGCATAAGCGCACAGTCATGGTCACGTGTTTTCCAAGTATATTAAAGTAGCTAATTTGTATATTACTTTGAAAACTTTTAAATGATATGTATGCAGAGAACTTAAGATGGATTTGAATAAAGTGGGCTTGTATTAACCCCTTTGTATTATTGAAGGATACAGCTCCCAATATCAATGATTATTATATCGTTCCCAAAAGTACTTGTAGTACCCTATATCATGGTATAACCCTGTATCGAATGTCACTCACCTGCTGATTCTAAAACATCTTCTCAATTCACATTTTCTCTAAATTTGCAACATTCGCACCACGCATGCGCGAGATAAGGGTTTCATATAAACAAAGATGGCGACTATGACTGTCGCGCAGACCAACTGAGACGTTACCACGCTTTAATTAGGTAAAGTCTTTAGTGATTGGAAGGTATCGAAGGAGTCATCGACGGTATTTAATGCACATCGCGTCCGGTCAAAACTTGTATTCGTGATTTCCATTAGAACAGCGCATTGAATTGTGGGAAAAGCAATGTTTATCAACACTAATATCACACATGCACTACGCGACGACCACCGGCCTTTAAACCAACAGAAAAGCAAGGGTGTCTGGAATTGTCATTTAGGTAACATAGGTTGCTACACTTGTGTCTGCAGTTATGAACATAGCCCATAGTAGAACATCCGATATAAACACACGCATGTCAGGTTACATACAACAAGTGGTTATTCCATTCAGGTGAAATCAAACATGTAGCCAAACTCCAACAATGAACATAAACAATAACAGCACAACCATTTATTTAATCTAAGCAAATTACATTACATAAAACTGAGCATGTTCATTCAGGAATTCAATGCTGTATTAATATATTTATCTACTGAATATATAAATTACGTAATTATGTAAAACACATTTCAAAAATTAAGTTTAATAATATTATTTGATTTGTTACGCAGCTGATTATGCTAACAAATTAATGAAAATAACTATTATTAGTAATATATACATTAATAAAGACACATTTCTGCGCAATGTAAACGTAAGTTCGGGCTAATGCTCTTCTCATTTTATGTTAGTAATTTAATGCACATACATTTAAGAATGTCAGTGTATGAAGAGAAGGGTGTATAAAAAAGACCATCTATGCTCCCTGGAATTCACACTGGTTTCTCGTCCAGAATAAGCGAGTCTATCGCATTCGGTTTGTCTTTTCGTCTGGCCGGACAAGACTGAAGAAGGGGTGTAGTATTTTCGTCTTATTTTATTTGTTTGTACTAAATACGTCATACCATAATATCCTCTTCCTACATCAGTTAAATCTATACTCTAGTACATTTGTTACACGATTCCTTTTCCGCCCACTGTAAATTTGCATATCTCGACCAAATCATGTCAGTGACCACTTGAGTAATTAGTAAATTACACATGCTCATATTTTTCAACTGGCGGGTGATTTAAACGCCACAGAATCTTGTAGGCGGATTTTGTGTTCTATTTTTTTATGTCACATTTTCGAAGTCTCAGTAAATGTGCATTTACTGTAGCTGTGTTACGATTTTTGTGTCGGTAGATGGATAAAACACATATCAGGCGATGGCATGTTTTCTCATCGAGAGACGAATGGATTTGGTGTGCGGTCTCATCAATTTGTCTCATCAATTAAAACTGAGAAGATGTAATGTAATTTTGGTGGATCGCATCAGAAATGTACACTCCAAAATAACGACTCTCAACAAATGTACTTCTAACTTCGAACTTCTAAGAAGACTATCAGTATATATCCTGACAGTGGCGGATCCAGAGGGGGGCAGGGAGGCCATGGCCCCTCCAAACGCATGAAAATGCATCTGGATTACGCATAGCATCGTCCGAATCGCACGGTCCCGTGTATTCGACCCATAGGCCTGGACCCCTCAATACATTTTGCTGGA